TCGTGTGTTCGTTTGGTAATGCCGCGTCGTCTGTCGTGTGTTCGTTTGGTAATGCCGCGTCGTCTGTCGTGTGTTCGTCTGGTAATGCCGCGTCGTCTGTCGTGTGTTCGTCTGGTAATGCCGCGTCGTCTGTCGTGTGTTCGTCTGGTAATGCCGCGTCGTCTGTCGTGTGTTCGTCTGCTAATGCCGCGTTGTCTGTTATCGTTGCGTCGTTTACCGCGCATAGTCTGCTAATTCTATGTCATCTGCCATATGCTCAGTCTTTTTGCTATCATCGTGCCATCTGTCACATGCGTATTCGTCTGCTAATGCTGCGTTGCCATGTGATGTCATCATGCACGTGCGGTCTGTCACGTGTGGTAGTCTGGTAATGCCGTGTCGTCTGCCGTGCATAGTCTCCTACTACTATCATTGTGTTGTTGTCATCGTGATATAGCATCTGCCATGCTATATCATTTGCCGTGCTATATCATTTGCCGTGCAATATTGTCTGCCGTGCAATATTGTCTGCCTTGCAATATTGTCTGCCGTGCAATATCTGTTGGCCATACTACATCGTCTGCGTTGCTATATCGTCTGCCGTAGTATCATTACAGTAGTACGTAGAGCCACGCTAGCATGGACAAGTCGCAAACATATACACCCACACACATTTACGACTGTCACCCATGTGTCGTCATTAATTTCATTCTCGTCTTCCTCCGCAGTTCATCGAGCTATCGTCCCCTTTGTTTGTTTCTGTTGTTCGCCGGTCAATGCTGCCTGATGTGCACATTTGTTCCATCTTGTTTGTGTGCGACGATTGACTCGGCAGGTTTTCAGTACAATTAGCCAAAACGCAATTTATATACTCTTAAGTGTAACTAACAAACGAGAAAATTAGACCCAATTTTTTCTCATTATACCAATTTTTGTAGAGTGTGTACTATGAGGCTCATTTATTTACCTAACCGTAGGTAAATTCCGATGTGTTGACATTTTCATTTTTACTCTTCACAGTCGAGCTGTCCATGGAAAGCAGACTAAACTCAGACGGAGAGATGCCTTATCTATTAAGCTTCAGCAAAAACATCAGGCACTCACACCAACGACTCACAACAAAGTCACATCCACGCGGCTCGATTGTATATTAACGAGCTGTTGTGCGTACGAACGACAATGAAAGACAGAAGACCCTACAACCACAACAGCACGCCCTGACGATCGAGCACGCTCTGCAAGAACAAAATTGGCAACGACCGCTCCGGCCACTAGCAGCCATGGCAATGCAACCGGAGACACGTTCGCGCCCGTGAGTGTAACAGGTTCCACATGGTTACCGGACGCAAGCGTCAGCACTTATGTATCATTATTCACGCGAGCGCTGCTTGATAAATAACCACCTACGTAATTCGATTTTCAGTGGATCGTTCTTTTTGACGCGTTAATAGTACATTCGCGGCAAGCTTTCACCATGGCGCATGTGTACTTTATGTCTTAGATTGTTCGTCATCTGCAGGGTCAGTTGGCCTGCCTTTATTTGCCTGAGATACCTCGCAAACAAAGCCAAAACGCAACTTAATAGGGTGTAGGAGGCGTTCCTGGGCAGGGGCAGGGCCGCTAGCGAGCGGTTGTGTGTTGGAGCTCGTTTAAAAATAATGGGTAGCAATCAACTCGACACGCGTCCAGTCTGGAAGGAAACGACACAATGAATCGGCGATATAGTGAAGGACGGAGACTACGTTTGCTACCCTCATGACCGACGGGTCCTATGGTTGCTATCATTTAATCTCTCCTCTCCGAGCGTCGATTCGCTCCTCGTTTTCTGCGTCCTGCGGGCGGTCTGCCGCTCCGTCTTTCCTCTGCCTCCTCACTGGCTCTCCGTCTTCTTCCTCTTCCCCACTTCTCACTGCTCTCGCTCCTCTTTCTTCTTGCCGCCGACTTTCATGCGCCGATTTATCTCTCTAGCGTCTCTACCCTGTCCTTACTAAGTGCGCTCGCGAATTTTGCGAAGGTGTTTGGTAAACATTATTCATTCGAGATGCGCCATGTTTCGAGAATGACTCGAACATCACTTGATTTTGCATAACTGCAACGTCAAAAGAGCTAATGCACACTTCAAAGCGTGTCACATGCGCATGGCTCATTGATTTTCGTGATATACGAAATCTTGGAAACAATTTCCTTTCCAGTAGAACGATAATTAGTGAGTACACACCGCGAAAGCACACCCGTATCGATTCATAGCCGCATCCGGGAAGTACAAGGCTTAGTAGAGCTTCAAACGACACCCACGGAACCATCGCAATTCATCTCATATTTGGGGGAGAACGCATGCGTTCAAATTGCTTGGCTAGGATTAGTTCCGCCGAGTATAGGAGCTCGGGTCAGATCGGATCTTTACCGGTCGACACTCGTAAGCGACCGGGTTGCCCCACTGAGAGTTCGCTAGTACTGACATGATATAAAACCGGGCCTGGGATTAGTAGTGTATATGCATTGCGACACGTGGCGAGTCGAACTGGAGTTGACTTATCGAAAAAAAAAAGCGGAGCTAAGGGGCAGACGTCAACGCTTCGGGGATATTGATTATTCATGCTCGTTCTAGTAGCTAAAACATACAGTTTACCGCCCTTGGTGCGATATAGTCTACAACATCCCTTACCAGATCGTGGATGGCTGCGCTCCTTTATCGATCGTTTTGTCTGATTTTACGATATCTGTGACATATCGTCTGAACTTTGTTACTGATATTCGAATGTATTCATATTACGGTCCGGGGCGACGGGACTGACCAGCCGACACGAGGATTCGGCTCAACGCCCATCGGTTTCCCGACTCCGCCGATGCCACTGCCACTCACGCTCCCGGTTACATCGATTGCGCTTCCATAAAGCGTTTCACGAGCCATTTACCGCGCAACGGCCACGATCCCGAGTTAATTGATTGATTTACTCGGTTTTATTTTAGATCGCCGGCCATATGCTTGGTTTTAACGGCACCAAGCTCATGTTGACTATTAGCCTTGAAAATGAAGAATAATGGATTGAGTGGTGGCCATTTCTGAAATGCCGCACTTGTTGGCAGTGGACAAATATGCGTATAGCCCATAGCCAATAAATCGCTTTTTAGGCATGATCTGCCGGCTACCAAGCTATTCCCGATCCGTCACCGTGCTGTCCGGTTCTCGGCGATGACAATAATACCTGATAATAAATTAGTGACTCGAGCAAATGCTTAAGCAAAGGAAGGAGAAATTTTTTGTGATGTCACCTGGGTAACTGTTGTCAAACTAGCTGGGAAGGGACGCCAGCGTCCTCCAGTCATACGTGCATATTGTGGCGGGAGGGGGGGCGGGGGGTGACCGGAACAAAATGTAAGGAGACCACATGTAACCCTAATACTATCAAGAGGCAGTGTCGTAGGTATTATATATATACTGATAATAATTATAGTGTTAATTACCTCCGGCGGATTGGCGGAGGTAAGTTTCACTCGTTCGTGTCTTTCGATGTGTTGTGTGTTTGTGCTCCACTAACACACTTGTGTTCAGTTCAGTTCCCGCATAGTGCGCTCGCTGTAGATCTGTACAAACACGCAAACACAGCCGAAGGGGCAACCACCAAGTCCTCCGTCCACCTGCACCTGCCTCGCACTAAATGTCCGGATCCCACTTTATAGATGATGAATTCATAATCGTATTTTATTAATTTTTTCTCCACTTAAATGAGTTATACTTAGAAAATAGGTTCACATCATGAGGTAGAATTGTCAGCCTGCGCTTGGTCGGAGTCTTGATCCGAGAGTTTTCAGTGTTATATATATTAGTATGACAAGGTATAATTAGCTCTTGATACTATGGAGATGTTTGCAGCTGACGGTAATCGCCGTGGGCGGACTAAAATCAGCCGCATAGACTAATTAAGTGGGGTCCGTTATCGCGCTGTTAACCCTTTAGCGCTCTGCTAAGACGGCCTTCGCGTCGAATGACGCAACAGTCGTGAGTTCCCATCCGAGTGCTCCGCTCGAGAACGCGAGCTAACCCGATAAGTTACGCGGTCGGTCGGATTGAACTGGAGCGACGGTTGAGTCAGCTATTCCCCAGGTTCAGGTGATCGATTGAAGTAGTGCCGTGCCGGCGGGGGCAGCGATGCTGATGAAGAGGCGATGCAGTGCGGTGAGAGACCATGACAAAACGAGTGCGATGTGACGCGGTGAGGATGCATGGGGAAGAGGCGATGAGTGGGTGAGAAGAACCGCATGAGCAGAAGGCGATGTGAGGGTGAGGTCGTGTGCAACTACGGAAGGGCGATGTGAGAGGGGAGAGAGAGTGCCCGTGAGCGAGGAGATGAAGGGCGATGACGGGTAGCGATGGACGCCTGGATAGGCGATGTGGAGGTGTAGCGGTGGCACATGAAGGGCCGATGTGA